GGCGAGTGCCGACCAAGTTGTCTGAGGGAATATCACGGATCGGAAGAAGGGGTAAAGGGATAGGGTTGGATACGGAAGACAAGGAGTTAAACAAAGGTTGGGATATCTGAGCAGTAGCCCACTTATCAATACCCACCCCGCTCGATGCAATGGGCAGCGCGGTCCTGATTATCCTGCGCGACGACCGATGCAGTATGAAATTATTTTTTGTTTGTGTTCATTGGAGCTTTATGGACGGGTACTGCCAGGGTGTCCAGCCACTAAGCAGGAGAGCGATTAGGGTTTTCAACCAGAGCCTTTAGTTTTGACAAAAACCTAACCGGAAGGCAGCGATTAAGGCGGATTGGAGGCCGATTAGCTTGGATCAATTATTCCTCCAACACATTTTATCGACTGAGACGCCGACTCAAGTTGAATCCCAACCTGGAGGACCAGGGGACTGGACTCCGTCTGATCTCTACCCATTGACCTTCCAGGCATGATTAGATCTTTAGCTCGGTAAAAGCCAGCCTGTGTAGCTCGTTGGGTCATAGAGGCTGACAAGCCATCACACCACGTCACGGTGCAGTCTCGTCGTGATGGAACCACACAAGGCTCTGCCGATTTGAAGTGACTATCCCCAGATGTCACATCTTAAACTTTCCGTCATCCTTTTCTTGCAGACGGCACAATTGTGAAACACTCCCTCTTTTGGTTTCCATTCAACTTAAAAATCCTCGCTACTAAAAGCAGAATCAACAAGCCGAATCTAGATTAGGTATTCCCTTTACAACCTGATGTACGGTATATCCTCGGGTTATGGGGTTTACTCCCGCAACAGATTTTTTGGTACCCAGATTAGGACCCTTCAGTCCTCTGGTAACATGTTACGGACTACATTAATTTTTGCTTTACCAGTGTTGCCCACTCGAACCGGTCTTAAACCGCACAGATATTCATCACCGTTACTAAAACAGCTACGCGGGCTGAAAGAACAGGCCTATAAGATAAGATGGGGAACGCATGTCAAGCGGCTTACAATTTCGATCAAATCTGAAATAAACCGATTGAACGAATTATACATCGAGACTATTTTGGGAATCTTCAGTTATCGTGGCATGTGGAGGGCTATTAATCGCCTGTGTGGCAGTACCAATAAACACAAAAGGGAAACTGTCGATGTTGAAAGGCTGAATTTCGAGTTTAGTCCGGTTTCACAGTGTAAAGCCCTGTAAGACTTGGTCAGCTCTAAGCCGCCACCAAACAGTGAACCCGCCTCGGTCCTCCAACAGCTACAAAAAACAAAAATGAACAAAGAATCTGATGCAAACGAACTATCACCCGTGGTACTCAAGGTATGCGCAAACACTCAGTTCCATTGTCTAAAATGTTCAATGGCTGTCTAATAAGCGGAAAAATCCCTAATATTTAAAGAATGATCAAGGCAACCCCCATCCAAAAAAGGGAAACTAGGAAGTACCGTCCCATCGCCTCCACGTGCTCAAATTATTTGAAAGGTGCGTTACCATGGATTGTTACTGAGCCTGCCGAAAACGACAGATCAGCTTGCATATCAATCTTCGCTCTCAGCACTAAATCCCGTTGCTTACCTTGTTCATCCAATAATTTTGGCTCTAGATTAGAGAAGATCGTCAGAATGAGGTTCTTAAATTACAAAAACGCATCTAACAGTCTTCGTGGATCAGTACTGCTCAACCTGATTACCGAAAGAGGTGTTAATCTAAACGTAGGTAGATAATTCCGCAATCATTTCACAAATAGAAAAGAGTTCACATATCCCAATGGCAAAATATCTTCTACTCACTAGGTTGCTTCTGGTGTTCTGCAAGGTGCACCTTTTTGCCCGTTTTACTTTTTGATGTAAGAGGAAAAATCTCGCATTCCTTTTACATTCATTGGCTTTATATACGCAAATAATGTTGTTTTAGGATGCAAAGCACCCACCCCTGAAGAGGCTTTATAAATTCAAAGCAAGCTAAACATTGTTAGTTGGTCCTCGTCCTGTTCCCTCTTATCGAATGCCTAAAAATGTCAGGATGCTGTGTTCTTTGTGTTGGCTGACGAGCCTATTTAACCCTTACCAATAGGTTTCCCACTCTTTCTACTAATCACGAACCAATACCGACATCCCTAATGGTAAAATACCTTGGCGTCACACTATCAAACAATTACAATCATTACCATCGTACTTTCAGAACACACTCTGTAAAGTTAGAAAGCTATCATATTTCTCACGCTGACTGAGAATATTTCATGTTCCCCACAAGCTGACTATTAGGTCTTTGAATGCATGCGTGCTCCCCCACTGATTGTATTACTCCCCAGTGATTTTCCCCGGTATGTTGAAAAACTACTTTTATTTACTGGCGAGATCTCTGAAACACACCTCTAAATTTAGTGGCATCGTAAGGGATAAACTTACAGACTCTATCGTAGGTAGACATCTACAGGCATGGAAAAATTTTAGTGCCAAAATACTCTCAGACACTCATCACCCAATTACACAACGAATTTTCAAAAGCGATATCTACATCATCCGCATGATCAAGGTTTAAACTTTTATTTGAACGTACCTCTTCGTTTCTTAATCCTGTTCTGATATATCTAGCACGTGAACTTGCTGAAATGGAGAACGTCTCCAAAGAATAACACAATTGCTTGCCTCAATGAAAAGGAAAATATCTACTGGTTTTATGTTTATTTTGTATCATTTTGTAAACTTTGATCCACAAATATGGTGCAAAACGCTGGAAGTTCACCCATCCGGGTACATAAAGCTACTGTCGACTCGACCTTACTTTACTGTATTAACTTCTGTTTGATTAAAAACCTCCGATGTGATATTTCTGCTGTTGCTGTTTGTTAAATTCAACTGAAATAAAGCTCTGTACTCTATAGGTGCAAAGTGTGAATGGAAAATAGCAACAACTAGTCGAGTTATTGACTGCAATTCGTGCATCATCCATTATTTTGAGCAGACAGGCGGTATCGTCAACTTAACTCAGGTTAATTAACATCTTTCCCGTGTTTCATTCAATCTAAGTATACCAAGACCATTCAGGGTGTTTTTCAAGAAACTGAACAGGAAAAGCAAGATACGGGACGGCTGGTTTCAAACCGATGGTTTCGTTCACCGTAGACTGCTGCGTAATGCAGGATCTGTGGTAAAATCGATCCCAGTGGGTAAATTTATTTACGGGGCACTTAGTTAATCAAAAGCGAACCAAACAAAACAAAACAAATCACATGAAAAAACAACTGCCATCGCGTATAAACTGAATAAAGAATTCGATCAACTGTTAATTACTGCGTACTAATTTTATTAATGAAAAACTAGTGTATATTAATTATTTTGCTCTAAAAACCAACCTAACAAAGACTGGCATTTAAATATATATATATATGTTAGATGGTACCTGTGGCACATAAATCAGTCGAACTATTCAGACTGAGCAATTGCGCCAGTGCGTGACCGCGATTACCTGATGCCTAACGTCCAACTTTAGTGTTGATTGTTTAGTCATTTCACCAAACTCGTGCAGACAACGGTGTTCAGTCTAGTTTTATCATTTTCTTGTAACGGCTAAGTTTCTGTACCAAATAATAACACCTGCCAAACTACTGAAGAATACAATGGACCATTCACAGATAGTGGAACCTCTCGAAGTGGATATAGATGTCTCAAACTGGCAAACTGCATAAGTGCGGAACTTTATCAGGAATTCAGGTATCAGTTGAAATGTATCATCCTGGGAAGCAGTGTCTAATTCTTCTGTCGTTTCTCCAGATAGACCAAAGTAACATATTCATGTGACAGTATTTTAACGGTAAGGGTGCAAAACCCAAGCTGAACACCACTACGCTGGCACAAAAATTATTCAGAAAAGCGGACAACTTATCAGGATCTTTGCTCAGCAGTACAACCTCATCAGAATTTTCTGGATCAGACAAATTACCACCTAAAAATTTATTAATTCCACTATCATCAAAAATAGTGATTTTTCAGTGATCAAATCTGTTTTCTTTTTCATAAAATACTTGCGGTACACTGCTTCACCTTCGGCATGTAACCAAAACCATAGGTGGATAATTTTACGGCGGAGTAAAAACTATCTTCATCGATATTATACAGCCACATTCCTGAAATCATGCCAAATTATAAAACAAAGATATTTTGATCAAAACAGCAGAAAGGGTTAACAACCAGACTGATCAAGGTATACTGTTAAACCATGGAAACTAGCAACCGTGGACAGGCGACCCGCATTACGCCTTATTATAAGAGGTGTGATATTGAGCCTAACGAAAGCAAAGCTGTCTACCATCAAAGTTGTGGTTTTAAAGGGATTCAAATCCAGGAACCAAAACATACACGAAAGTGATCTAAACCTCTTTACCACTGTCGCCATTGATATAATAGGTGCTTTTCATGGTAAAGGGTAGAGTTTTGGTGATACTCTTTAAGTTGGTCTACTATATTTGTTAAGAGTGAGAATGAATTCTTGAATAATTATGCGTCAGCTATTTTACTAATCCAGGAGAAAGGGAATACCTAATTGTAAAAACTAACGAGGATAACAATGTATCAGTAGCACCGAAAATGTTTTTGCTGGCCTTGTTTTCCGACAGTCGTTTTCTATATGCAAACATTGCATGCGTAAGAATTAAGCTAACACCAGCATACTCTTCATGGATCCTCGATTTTCGTCTTCCCCGAGCTGAAAGCAAACTCCACTTTAGTCAAACCTGATGTTCCTCAAAGTATAATGATCTTCTGCGCTCATTAAATGCGAACAGTTGTAGTACGACTCGTGTTGCATTTTTATTTTGACTTTTTAATGGATATGATTTTCAAAAACGTTTTCACCTCGTGCAAGAGCTTTAATTCAATCCTATGCTGGGAGAATAATGTATTAATGACAGAATATTAAAATAAATGCAAACTTTTCAACGGTTTGAGTGCTACAGAAGATGTCCGACAAACACTTGCATCTTCAGCATGTGAAATTCGGTTACAGCTGGTTTCATCTCACACAACTTACCCTATTCTAACCCGGAAGATAACAGAAATTTTTGACAGGTTTTCCTACGCGTGCTTTGCATTTATCCCCGCGAATGAATCATGGATGATATACTGGGATGCAAACACAAGGCTAGCTAACTGTAAAATGTAAATATTGTCACGTTTTGTTCGGGCACTGCCTGCTTCCCATAACGCTGACCATCGCCTACTTCTAACCACTACGATATTCTGACGCCCCAATCGCTGCCTAGCCGCTTGACACCTGTCCTAAGTGCTAAAGTTGCATACAAGATTACCGGTTGCACTGGCGTATTCTCTCAGAACCTCATCAGCATGAATTTGAGTGAAATAGTTCGTGTACTTTGGTGGGCGTTTGAAACGTACGACACATCAGTGGTTAGATGACGACAGGCTATTTTTGTTGGTTTGCCTAACCATCATTAGCAGCGCGTTGGACGGAAAATTAAAAGTAACACCTACCAAATGACATCAGCTGCTCATCAGGAGTGCTCTGCCTTTCGCTGACCAAGTATTGTACCTTGTCATGCAGTCCCGCGAAACCCTGACTTTCTGCTCAGTCCTTGCGTCTTTTAGACGCACAACTATAGATACCAGGCAGCAGTAACTATAATGAAACACTACTTGCAGTCAGACGATAACTTATGGAAGGCCCACGTGGGAATAATGAAGGTCGGGAATGTCAATGTGTAGGTAAACACTCTTCTTTAAGTTCATGTGTACAACGAATCACAGTCCAACAATCTTCATTACATGGATGATATCCAGGAATTGTTCTAGGACGCGATACTGCTGGGTTTTCCTGTCCGAAACGGGTAAATTTGACTGGGGATTCAAAATCAGAAACGGTGGGAAGCCAAAACTAACTCAAACACGATGGTAAAGTTTCTTGCCAAGTGCCTAAAGGGTTCATCAGCTTATTCGAGGGTTGTGCACTATTCTCTGCACCAGAGGTTGGTGCATGGCTAGTGGTGCGCTCTTAGAAGCTCAATTACTATTTCATGCGTGGATGCAATCCTGAAATGCAAATTCCCCCATACGCTAAACGACTTTTCTTGACTTTATTTGCATCACGCAGATCTCATCAGTTCGTCTAGGAACTGATGTAAATAATGATGCCTTCTGCAACTTCTTAAAGTCTTCAGAGATATAAAATATCTATTATCTTACAGAAGCTATTTCTATTACGTACGTTTCACAAGCTTCTCTAAGCTAACTACCTGCGCAGAGTGCAATAACTAGAACCACGTTAAGTAAAACAGTGAATGGGTTTTCATAGCATTGATGTTTCCCGATGTAGGCAGCGGTTGGGTGGACGAAAACAGTTCGATTTAAGTAACCTAATAAATACCAGTAAAACTTGCAATCCGAATTACATCGGATTACCACTTTATGTGGCTTGGCTTCATTATAAGAACCAGCCTTAATCAAAAACATTCCGTAAGCAAAAATGATCGCTAACGAATTAGTTAGCGAACATTTTGATGATTAGTGACTGCTTAAAAATTTGGGTTATTTATCTGATGATTCTAATAATATAGCTGTTACGACGAGACTGCGCCTTGACGTGGTATGATGGCTTGTGCACCTCTGTGACCCAACAAGCTATACAAGATTGCTTTTGTCAATCAAGATCTAATCATGCGTGGAAGGTCAATGGGTAGAGGCCAGACGAAGTCCAGTCTCCTGATCCTCCAGGTTGGGGGTTCGACTAGAATTTGCATTTAAGTCAGTAAAAAATGGCGGAGGAATAATTGATCCAAGCAAATGGGCCTCCATTTCTCTTCATCCGCTGCCTTGCGGTTAGGCTCTTGTTAGAACTAAAGGCTTTGGACGAGAACCCTAATCGCTCTCCTGCTTAGTGGCTGGACATCCTAGCAGTACCCATCCATCAAACCCCAATGTATTCGCGAACTATGCATTGCGAATTTGGCAGCAATCAGTGAAGCTCGCTTCACTGTATTTCTCTGTACAATGATAACGATTGGTGAGAGCTTAAAAATGTGGGTTATTTATCTGATGGTTCTAATATTTAGTACCTTCTGCACACGTCTAGTTTACCAAGACCTTTAAATTTATCTTGAAAACATTTTTGGTCATTTAAGCTATATTCTTCCGTGGTCCAGAAGGTGGGTACAAGAAGCAAAGTGACCGCAAAACGGCGCATTAAGCTTCGTTCCTGGTGCTTAGAAAATAATGAAAACGTCTTGCTAATAGCAATCAGACTTCTAGGTTCTTAAGCTTTGAGTAGGTAATCTCATAATAGCGTGATCGAGCACCGAGTACA